CAAGCCCTAAATGCCAAATCCTAGCTGCACCAGTGTCTACTTTTAAAGGGACTCTACTGGGAACCCCAAATAGGGAACCCCAAGAATATAGCAGGAATATAATGGAATATAAGGACCCTGGTAGGTATGTTCCTATTATATACCTACTATATTCTTGGGGTTCCCGGTTTGGGGTTCCCAGTAGAGTCCCTTTTATTTTAAAAGATACCTCGAGTTTCTCAGGGGATTCGCAGATTCTTGTTGTTCAGGTGCCTCTGAGCTTGCATATGCTTTAAAGCCTTTTCAGATTTTAATCAAAATCTAGCTGCTTGAGGAAGTATGATGAAGACAAAAGATTCAATTGGAATCTTTTTCGTCTTGTTAATAAAGCTTTAATAAAGCTTCTTCACATGTTGGCTTTTTTTTTAATGATGTTCGTTCAACCATTTTCCTTGCTCAATCAGGGGGATCGAGAACTGTTTACTAACCCTCTTGAAGCCGCTTTTGCCGGGGTGGGGGTCCTAAGATCACTGGTTAACAGGGCTTATAAGATTACATAAGGAAAAATATGGTTATATAGGATTGTATGGAGTTTGGGGCCCGAATAAATACCGATAATGTAGAATCAAATGCAAGAGAAAAAGGGAAGTAACATGGATTTTCGAGTTCATATGGGTAGCCCTCGAAAAGCGGGGCGCTGCTGCAGCCTGGTGCGGCGGCGCGGGAATTGACCTGACATAAATACCTCCCCCCAGAGGGTCTGGCGGCTGTTCACCGCCGGGCCCTCCGGCTAGCCCTGCCCAGGGCGTAAAACTAGGGTTCTATGCGAGGCTTGGCCTCGGAACCTTTATCGGTCCATGGCTAGGAGTCAATCCTCTTCGCTTGCTTGGCTCTTCAGGGTGCTGGATAATTCGGCGAGCGCTGGACTCGGCATGGCTGGGTTTGAATTCATCCTTGGGCTGAGCTACTTGGAGGATCGACTGCAGGGCATCCTCTCGGCGCTCTGCGTTGCTAGGTTCACAACTGCCAGCGTTTCCTCTACATACTTGCGTCCTCATTCATTGGATGGCCAGGTACCATGCGGTGATAGCCCGTGGGACAGCAGCGGCCAGGCTTCTTGCACTGCTACGCCTACACTTTCTTGGCGGCCTTCGTGCCGGTGGACGGCTCAACTACCAAGGGGCCCAGGTTGCCGTCTACGTTGTACAGGTTTGCATGATTTCTGAACGAGTTTAGAGGTGCAGGGCTAATCGCGCTCGACCTCGACGAGGACGATTTTGGCCTCGACACTAGCAGGGCCAGGTATAAGGAGGGAAGCATTCCACCTCTACATGATGATCTCACCCACAGCAGGGGCTGCATAGCAAACAGCGCCACACTGCAAATTCTTCGGGCTCACCAGGACTTTGACTTCTGGCACGGCGTCATTCAACAAGGATACTCTTCGCAGGCTCGTGCTCAACCGCTCTACTCGGCACCATCTTCATGCTAGGTCTCCTCACGACAGTGAGGACGCAGTGGGCTTGTGCTTCTTGTACATGCCTCTTGCTTGGCACCTTCCCGTCCTTATCGCTGGGCCTTCCGCCGCTACACGTGATGAAGACAGGAATTGGTGATGAGTTTGGGCACATCTCTCCCTACATGAGATGTGCGTCCCTTTTCGGGACACATGCCAGCGGGCGTCTAGGCTCACGAAAGTGGGCCCTTCACCACCTTCGAAAGAGGGAGCAGGTTGACGTCTCGTACAACAACAACAACAACAACAACAGTTCATATGGGTAGTATGGAGGAAGTGTAGTGTACGAAAGCTTAAATACCTGCCAATATCGCCCCCCTAGATTCCTTATATAGTTCTAGTATTGGGGCACATCAAAATAGACCCCAAACTGAAATTTGGTAATTTGTCAAGCCTTACGTTACTTCGAGCAACTGGCATGTTGGGGCCGACTGTTCAGGGGTAAGGCAAAGAGAAAGTTTGTTCCTGATAACCTCCATGAGTGTTTAGTTGGGTTATGGGGGTTGCAGACCCACATGTTTCATGATTGGAGTCTCTGAATTCAAACATGTTGAGTTTTCAGACTTCTTGGACACTTTTGGTGTATAGGTGTTTCGAGGATTTGGCATGCTAGGCTCCGCCCCCTCTGAATGAGTCAGACTGGATTCTGGGTGCATTCATGGAGATTACTTGGAGGCCCACGTGACTTAGTAACTACTTATAACGGGGCTTATAACCCTACTTATAATCCCCCTAAATGGGCTTACAGGGGTTACCCCAATTATAAGTAGGGCTTTAATCCCAGTCATAAGTAGGTACTAAGTCCCATGGGCCTCCAAGTAGAGTCATGGGTTATGTAATCAGACTAAGTTGCTGGGACAGAGCTCTCACGTACACAGCTGTCAGACCCTCCTTCAAACACTGGATTAGGGTTTAGGGTTTAGGGTTTAGGGGAACCTTGGTTGTGGGCCACTGTGGCAAGCTTTCAGATTGTAAGTTCGCCGTTACTTTTTAACTTGATGTAACCGCCACATCCAAGCGGTCTAGGGTTCAGGGTTTATGTTGTTCCTTCCCTGCGCCACCAAGCCCATGCTCATCCGTGTTCTTTTGGCCATGTTTCCGAGCCCCACCCCTGAACCTAAGTTGCAGATTACCAACTCCTGACAGAGAACCATTAAGGGCGGCAAGGCCTCAAGGGTTTAGGGTTTAGGGGATACATAGAGATATATAATCCCAATAATGGAGAACCAAATCGACTGAATATGAAATGGACATGGGGATGCTCCGTGGTTTATAGGGCATCCTCTTGCAGACAATGACCGAGGCTGTGCCAGCAAAGTGGATGCCCTTGAGTATGCGAATGATGGCCTTCAGGGCACAGACGCCACTCAGCTGGCGTGTTGCCGGGTCTGGCGGTTGATCTAGTGATAGAGAATGTGGATTACATGAAGAAGCTCAAATCATTAGGGGGAATGCTGTCTCAGGTTCCTAGGGCAACCATGACTGTATTTCTGGAAGAAACCCTGGGCTTCCATGAGGGTTTCTCTTTCTATGTAGAAGTTTCAGCCACGATTTTTCACTGTAACTTCGGAGCCCCCAGAAGAAGGCAAGAGCATGTAATGAGGTGTTCTTGAGGCTCTTGGGTTGCTGAATTTGGGGCCCACTGGGGCCACCAGTTTCCTTGGTTTTCCTTGGGTGGTTGTCTTATTTCTCACGTCATTTACAGCTCGCATCAGATGCTTCAAGTCAGCTTCCGTGCCATGTTCCTGGATCAGTTGAAAGTAGGATGTTCAGACCTTGATTGGGTGCATGGAGGGAGAAGGACAAACCGTTGTTGCTTTGGAAAAAACCGTTGGGTGCGCTTTGGATTGCACCGGAAAACGCGAGTATCTCCACACATCCAGCCCCAAGCCTGTTTGCTTCTGAGCTGCACAATGAAGTTGATCCTGTAATAATGGTAGTAATAATAGTGGTAGTAATAGTATTAGTAAGAATGGTCGTACTAGTGCTAGTAATGGTAATAAGTGGTTCCT